CATAAAGTGAAAAATAATAGATTATTTTTTTAATGATGATGAAATCAGAGCAGACCTATTGTCATGTTTAATCCCAGTGAGAGTCAAGTTGGGAATTGATAATTTCTTTTTTTTTTTTTTCTTTTTTCTTTTTTTTTTTTTTTTACAGAGGATCAGTTTAGTATGCATTAAGTAAGGATTTCAACAGTTTGCACCCCCATAGAAACACAAAGTGAAATATATTGTTTGAGTACTCATTATAGCATTAAATCTCAATGTACAGCACATTAAGGATAGAGATCCTACATGAGGAGTAAGTGCACAGTGACTCCTGTTGTTGACTTTACCAATTGACACTCCTGTCTATGGCATCAGTAATCTCCCTATGCTCCAGTCATGAGTTTCCAAGGCTATGGAAGCCCTCTGAGTTCTCCGACTCTTATCTTGTTTAGACAAGGTCATAGTCAAAGTGGAGGTTCTCTCCTCCCTTCAGAGAAAGGTACCTCCTTCTTTGATGACCTGTTCTTTCCACTGGGATCTCACTCGCAGAGATCTTTTGCCAGAGTGTCTTGGCTTTCCATGCCTGAAATACTCTCATGAGCTTTTCAGCCAGCTCCGAATGCCTTTAGGGCTGATTCTGAGGCCAGAGTGCTATTTAGGACATCTGCCATTCTATGAGTCTGCTGAGTATCTCACTTCCCATGTTGGATCACTCTCCCCTTTATTTACTCCATCGGTTAGCGTTAGCAGGTACTAGACTTGTCTATGTGTTCCCTTTGACTCCCAGTCCCTTCACCATGACCAACTGTGAACTGAAACTGATCACCTGGAACAGTGAGATGGCATTGGTACATGCCACCTCGATGGGATTGAATTGGAATCCCCTGGTATGCTTCCAACTCCACCACTTGGTAGCCCATTACATTTAATACAATTATTTATATAGTTGGATTTAAGTCTTCCACTTTGCTGGTTGTTTTATGTATTTAATGGGAGTTTGTTCTTCAGTTTCTCTTTGGTACTTCTTATGGATTTTTGGTTATTCCACTGCAACTCCTCTGACAATAAAACTTTAAACATGTTTGTTTTCATCTGCTTGAAAGGCAGAAATAGGTAAAGCTGTATCTGCATTGCTGGCATCCCATATGAGTGCTGGTTCAAGACCTAGATGCTCTACTTCCCATCCAATTCCCTGCTAATGCACCTGGGAAAGCAGTGAAAGATGGCCCAAGTACTGGGCCACCTACAAGGAACACCTCGAAGAAGTTCCCGGCTCATGGCTGTGGCCTGGTTGTTGCAACCATTTGGAGAATGAACCAGCAAATGGAAGATCTCTCTGTCTCTTTGTCTCTTTGTCTCTCTCTCTCTCTCTTTCTCACATTGCCTTTCAAATAAATAAATAAATCTTAAAAAAAGATGTACTAAATGTGTTGTTGACTTAAAGTATTTTCAAGTTACTATAGGTTTATCGAATTTACCCACCCTCAACCCCCACCATGGTAAGTCGAGGAGAGTCTGTACCTTAAATATGTCATTCCATTGCTTTCCGAATGCTATTACTGGTGAGAAGTCAGTCACTAATTGTATTGTGTTCCCTGCATGTGATGAATTTTTTTTTTTTTTTACTGTTTTTGAGACAGTTTGTCTGACTTCTGGCATTTTTACTCTGATGTGTCTAGGTGTAGATCTGTATGTTCATAGCTCTTGGCATTAACTAAGCTTATAAATTTGCTAGATTAATAGTATTTTAAAATAAAATTTAAGAAGTTTTCAATTTTTATTTCCCCAAATATTATTTCTATTTATTTTTTCTCTCTCCTCTGCAACTCCTCTTACACATATGTTTTAAATTTGCTAGATTAATAGTATTTTAAAATAAAATTTAAGAAGTTTTCAATTTTTATTTCCCCAAATATTATTTCTATTTATTTTTTCTCTCTCCTCTGCAACTCCTCTTACACATATGTTTTTAAACTTGAAGTTGTCCCAGTTGAGCCTATTTACTAAATACTTCATTTTGTTCATTATTCATTTCAACTCTAAAATTTCTTGTTGCTTTTTTCTGTGCTACTTCTACTTCACTACTGAAATTACCTGTTGACTGAACCATTTTTATTATATTTCCCTTAATGTTTTACAAAGATAGCTTCTTTAATTCTTTGAACCTAATTTTGTTAGCTGCTTTGAAGTTCTAGTGTGCTAAATCCAACATCTGGAGCCACTAGAAGTTAGTTTCTTTTGACGGTTTTTCCCTCTCTCCTTGAGTATGGACGTACTTTTCTGTTTTGCTTACAAATTTTAAAATTCTTTGTTGAAAACAGGATATTTTTGATTATATATTGTAGCACGTCTGGATTTTCACTTTTCTTTTGAAGGCCTTATTTTGCATTTTATACCTTTTCTGGACTTGATCTGCATGAGATTTCCCAAGGGTTATAGCCTCTAATGTCTCTTTTTAGTTTTTAAAGTCTTATCTTTACTTCTTTTTTTAAACTTTTATTTAATAAATATAAATTTCCAAAGTGCAACTTTTGAATTTTCCCTCATACCTCCCTCCCACCCACAACCATCCCATCTCCCACTCCCTCTCCCATCCCATTCTTCATAAAGATTCATTTTCAATTATCTTTACACACAGAAGATCATTTTTATTTCTTATCTGGCTTTCTAATGGTTGTCCCCGGGTATTCCTACCTTCATTGTCAGTCAATGATTTGGGTTGAGGTTTTATTCAAATACCTCAAACTTGGGCCGGTGTCGTGGCTCACTTGGTTAATCCTTCGCCTGCGGCACCGGCATCCCGTGTGGGTGCCGAGTTTTAGTCCCGATTGCTCCTCTTCCAGTCCAGCTCTCTGCTGTGGCCCAGGAGGGCAGTGGAGGATGGCCCAAGTGCTTGGGCCCTGCACCCGCATGGGAGACAGGGAAGAAGCTCCTGGCTTTGGATCGGCACAGTGCTGGCCGTAGCAGCCATCTGGGGGGTGAACCAATGGAAGGAAGATATTTCTCTCTCTCGCTCTCTCACTGTCTATAACTCTACTTGTCAAATAATAATAAATAAAAAACCAAATGCCTCAAACTCATAATCTTCCAACCTCTTCTGATAGATCTCTGTGTGGGTTTGGGAGCATATTTCATGTGAAGGTAATTCTTCTTCCTTGGCTTTTACTTTCTTCCAGGTCAACTCAAATTGCCCCTGCGCCCGTGCTTGGTTTACCAGTCACAAGTGTATGCAATATGCTTATCTAACACTTCTCTGGCTCTCTCATTTCCAGGTTCTTCCTGTTTACTTTCAAATGGATTCATCACTTGTTCCAATGGCACTTGAATCTCGAACTAGCAAGCCAACAAATTTACTCCATTCATTTTCTCCTGAGTTTGCCTGCTTTTACTGATAATCTTCTGCTTCAAAAAAGCCTGCCTTCCCTGGCAGAACCTGCTGGTCTGCTTGGTTGACCGTCTCTTGCAAAACAATTGCACCGATAAACTGAGGGACTGGAGGTGGTATGGGAATAGTTTTATGCAAAGAGGCACTGGAATTCAACTGTGCTTATCCAAAATTTAGGAGATTTTTGTGAATAATTGCTTTTTCAATTTGATGTGTGTCTGTTGGTTTCCTGAGCTCTGAAGTGATTGTTTTGGACCATTATGTCCAATTTTACATTGTTTATAAGGGGGAGCTGGGGAGAGGATTTTTTTAAATCTCTTTATGCCCACAGAGCTGATGATATTTTTTAGAGTTTGAAGAATGTAGGTGTTAATTTAAGAATCCAGTTTATGATCAGAGGGCAAAGGACTTGCTTCTCCACGACAATGCTTTCTCCTTCACAGAAGTCTAATTGCAGAAGTGATGCTTTGGAGATGCAAAATACTATTTTTAAATGGTGGCAACCTATGCACTTAATTAAGTTTTTCTTACCACATATGGGTGACCTGCCATGCTAACTTTTTGTGTAGGTGGTGTGACTTGGTTATTATAACCACAAAAATATTGATGAGTGGGATGCATATTGTTAAGTTCTTTGTTTCAAAGTGGATTGTAAGAATTGGACTTATTTTAAGTGCAAAGAGGATTTAAAAGTTACACAATCATTGCAAATTTATACTTTAAATTTAACAGTTATCTGTCAGTTTTAGTGGAGTTGAACAAAAGTGTCATAATATTAAATATTGGGAAATATGGAAATCATATATGCTGCTGCACTCTTTTGGAGTGTTTCTGTTAGAAAACAATTATAAAAATTGGCAAACATTGGTTTTAGTTGTCAAGATTAAGCATTGTTTATGTATCCTTAATTTAGTCTTAATATTTCCTAGGGGAGATTATATTATCACCATTTTACAGATGAAGAAACTGGCTGAGAGAAATTGCTTAAGGACAGACGTAACAATTGATGAAGTATGGATTAGAAACCCAGTTGGTCTGACCCTCAAGACCATGTTCAGGTGGCATATGGCCACATGTTCTGAAAATCCCAGCATCATTTCCTGTTGGAGGCAATATGAATTTGAGAGGTGAGACTTTTTCATTTCCTTATTCTCCCTTCCTGTTGAACTTGTAGCATTGCTCCTGAGACTGATAAAAATATGCGTATAGCAATTCTATCCTCTTCTACTCTTCTGATCTATACCTTCCCTGGTGCTGAGTAGTAATTGCTTTCACATTCCTTATACCTTTTGCTTTATTTGAAAAAAAAAATACATAAGCACACTTGCTTTATAGTCACTTAAATTTGGGTAACCTTCTCTTTTGATTTCAAGTATTAGAGAAGTTTAGGTAAACATCCAAGATTTTAAAATTAACTTCTTTAAAATTCAGGCTTTAAAGTTTTGATTTATTATCCAGAGTGGTGCTCTGAATTCAGTGTATTCTCTATTTCCTTTATTAAATTCAGAATACCTAGTAATGACATGAAAAATATGAAAGGATCATGGCTTTTGCCACTAGCGCATAGTTTTTTGCTAAACAAAGTCACATTCTACCCTTGAGTTTCATTGATTTATTTCAACACATGATTCCCCCTAAAGAAATCACATTCAAATTCTGTACTTAGAAATCATACATATTTTGGGCCGGCGCTGTGGCTAACTTGGTTAATCCTCTGCCTGTGGCACTGGCATCCCATATGAGCACCAGGGTTCTAGTCTCGGTTGCTCCTCTTCCAGTCCAGCTCTCTGCTGTGGCCCAGGAGGGCAGTGGAGGATGGCTCAAGTGTTTGGGCCCCTGTACCTGCATGGGAGACCAGGAGGAAGCACCTGGCTCCTGGCTTCGACTGGCACAGCACCAGCCGTGGAGGCCATTTGGGGAGTGAACCAATGGAAGGAAGACCTTTCTCTCTGTCGCTCTCTCTCACTGTCTATAACTCTCCCTGTCCAATAAAAAAAAAAAAAAAGAAATCATACATATTGAATTTGAGTAAAACTAAATATATATTATTTATTTGCTTAAATTGTTATTATTTATTTATTTATTTATTTTTGCTTTGGAGAACCTGTGAAGAGTGGCCAAGACATTCCCTGGCCTCCCTGGGAGCTGGCCTGGGAAGCCACAGGGGCATAGGGACTAAGAATGTAAACAGTTACCTTTTGGAAATGAGTGTGGCTCAGGCATTTCAGTCTCTTTAGTGGTTACACAAGAGATGAAAATGATGTATGGACCGGTGATATAAACTAGCATCTTCACCTTTGCAGAGGTACTGCTGCTAGCTGTGGACTTCCTAGAATGTTGAGGTGAATCTGATTCCCAAGGGACCTGAGGGACACAAGTAGTACCAGAAGCCATTCTCAGTGAACAATGAGCAAAACTGCAGATGTGGGAACATTTCCGTTTCCTCACTGGTTTTCCTTAAGTTTTCATCATGTTCATTTGTTCATTTTTCTCTGTAGGCTATTTGCCTGCAGCTTTTTTTTTTTTTTTAATTCTTAGGTGGTTTAGCACTGAACATATCCGAGTGTCACTTTTCACACACTGTGGCCCAGTAAAAAGGGTTGATTTTTTATATATAAAGAAAGATCTAGGAGAAGGTTCTTTGCTTCTGTGCTTTACCAACAAAGACACCACATCTGGAAATAATCTCATGCTTCAGGAATATGTGAATTGCTTTAAAAAATCCCAGCCACAACCACTACTTATTCTTCAGAATCCTCCATTTCTGTCCGTCCTTGCTAAACATGCATTTTCTTTTTAAGGAAGCTTTTATTTAATGAATACAAACTTCATAGGTACAGCCTTAGGAATATAATGTTTCTTCCCTCCATACCTGTCTTCCCACGCCTACTCCTGTCCCACCTTCTACTTCCTCTCCCATCCCATTCTTCATTAAGATTCATTTTTAATTAACTTTATATACAGAAGAGCAACCCTATACTAAGTAAAGATTTCAACAATTTACACCCACACAGACACACAAAGTATAAAGTACTAAACATGCATTTTCAACCAATCACTGTGTATCAATGCATAGAAGTCAAGAATACAGTCTGGTGGTTTCTAATCAAACATAGGCAGATAATGACAGATGAAAAAAGTCCTAATACATTGAATGCTCCTATTACCTTTTGGGTTATATGTAAGAATACATTTTTTTCAGACTGCTTCTCTGGGGAAATGGGGTTTCAAAACAAGTTCCTCAAGAAAAGGAAATTGTTGGAAATATCAGTAGAAGTTTAAGGACTCTGACAGGAAGGAAAAATCCAGGAAAGTTTCTTGATGTGACCCCTGCATGAGTAATGCAATATTCAGATTTGTAATTAGATGTCCCAGGGGGTTCAGTCCTAAGAAAATGAACTGGAATGATTATGGGCAGATGAGTAGTCTACAGAAATATCTCAGAGAGTAATACATTGACAAGGAGTCCCAGAGTCCCCATGCAAACTCTCAGGACATAGAATTTAAATAGGGGATAAATGTCTTTCTAGTGGAATAATAGAAACAAAATAGAGTTTTTCCTTGGATATTTCAGATCAGTGTGAAACTATTAGTCTAAAATATAAATAAATTAGAATTGGCACTGAGATATAATATTTATATGAAGATCTTTGGAATTCAGAATTGATCTAGTGGAATGTCAGCTATTGTTCATGACCATACATAGCTGTGATGGTACATAAATAAGAAATGTTTGCTTTATTTTCTATCTAAGAGACTGAGATGCAGGGGTGATCATAGAAATACTACCGTTTCTTAGCTGGCAGTTATTTGAAGATTTTTCTGACTAATTAAGGTAGAAATGACTGTTTCTCTGCATAAGATATTAAGTGCACACCACTGGCTCAAGAACAAAAGATAGGCTTGCTGTATTCTAGTTTATGTAAAGGGTTCATCACATTGGTAAGATGAATCATGTCTTGGTATAATTTTAGATGTTAGGCCAGCACTGTGGCTCACTTGGCTAATCCTATGCCTGTGGCACCGGTACCCCGGGTTCTAGTCCTGGTTGGGGCAACAGGTTCTGTCCCGGTTGCTCCTCTTCCAGTCCAGCTCTCTGCTGTGGCCCAGGAAGGCAGTGGAGGATGGCCCAAGTGCTTGGGCCCTGCACCTGCATGGAAGACCAGGAGGAAGCACCTGGCTCCTGGTTTTGGATTGGCACAACGCGCTGGCTGTGGTGGCCATTTGGGGGGTGAACCAACGGAAGGAAGACCTTTCTCTCTGTCTCTCTCTCTCTCTCACTGTATAACTCTGCCTGTCAAAAAAAAAAAGTTTAGATGTTAGTTAGCATGCTACAAGTAGAAAATTGTGAGTCTAAAACAGGAGAGACTGAATGCCGGATTGATTACAGATGATGGAAAAACCGAGGAAGCAATAGTTAATCTAGGGATTAACAGCAGTAGGAATCCATTGGCACCCTGTGTTACTTACCTACTGCTGCATAACAAATTACCCCAAAGATAGCGGTTTAAAATAATAAAATATTATCTCACATGTTTTCTGAGGGCCAAGGATGTGGGAAGCTGTTAGAAGGATTCCTCTGGTTCAACCTTTTTTTTTTTTTTAAAGTGAAACTATAGTCAAGCTATTGACTGGGGCTCTAGTCTTATCTGTGTGTGCTTGGTAGTGGCAAGGGATCCATTTTCAAACTCAGGTGATAGTAGGTAGTCTTCAGTCCCTCACCATGTGGGCCTCTTCCCACATGTGGGCCGCATCACATTGAGGCAGCCGGCTTTCCAGCGTAAGTAGTATGAGAGTGAGAGAGATGCTCAAGACAGAGCTCATCTTTATATATCTGAAGTGATATCCTACTACATCTGTCATTTACTGTTATAACTGATTTACTAAATCTAGTCCTAACTCAAGGAAAGAGCATTACACAAGGGTATGAAGATCCAGAAGTGGATATATTCATTTTCCAGGACTTCTGCAACAAATACCACAAATGTGTGGTTTATTATGTTGATCAGGAGGCCAGAGGCTCAGGATCAAAGATTTGAAAGGACTGGCTCCTTCTGGGGAGTGTGATGGAGAATCTGTCCCATGTCTCTCTCTAGCTTCTGGTGATTTTCTGGCGATCTTTGGCATAATTTGGTTTGGTGATGCATCACCCCAATCTCTGCCTTCAACTTCATGTGCTATTCTCCCTATGTTTATGTAAATCTCTGTGTTCAGATCACCCCTTTTGGTAAGGATGACAGCAATATTGAATTGGGGACCATCATAATAATCTCATCTTGACTGCATCTACAAAGACCCTATTTTTAAGATCATATTCATTAGGTCTTCAGAATGCTATTTTGGGGAGACACAGTTTACTCCATCACCATGAACATTGTTGGAGGCTCTGTGCCAGGCACTGTTAGTCTGGAAGACCACATGAGGAGGCCATGTTAATAAATCTAAGGAATGGGTTCACCTGGTGGAAGTTAGACACAGGTAGGCTGTCTGGCAGGAGCTGGAGCCCTAGGAAAGACTCACCACCTTTAGAAATGCCACAGGAGCAGAAAGTGAATGGGGGGAGAGTTACCTGATTTCCTCTCCCCAATGCCCCACCCCAAATTAGTTCCGTTTCCCTTGCTAGAAGTCAATTGAAAAGGAACCTGTAAAAGTCCCCCAGGACTGAGCAGAGCAAGGAATGATAAGCTGTGACTCTGAAGGCAAACATTCCCCAGGACTGACATCCAGGCTTTGCAGTATATCTGCACTGAGAGATCCAAGACTGCTACAGTGAACTCACAGAGATACAACAGCACGTTTTTAATTTTTGAAATTAATAGAGTAATATTTGATATGTGTTGGATAGTACATGGAATACTAACTTGAGGTAGTTCCAACTTTCGATACCAGTTTGTGCTATGTTCCTTTTTGGCATCATGCAGCTGTTGTGTCATAACTACTTTAGTAAATGGAATTGTTGTATATATCTGTATCTAGATGAACTATGAAAAAATTCCAGAGACACTAAGGGAACTGATAAAGTTTGGGAACCTCTGACAACAGGCATGATTTATATTATTATCCACCATGGCTATATTTTTAGAGCATACATGGGGAGGTTAATTCTTCGATGTCTTGACATTTAACT